GCTAGCTAAGAACATTACATCTACATCTATATGAACTTAAATAACATGATCATTATTAATACATTTTGAGCTTTAAGTATAAAAATTCCCAGTTGCTTGGTTCATGTCAAGATAAATGTTTAGAATAAATATATCAAAGGCAATTTTATTTAGGAAAATTACCTTGCCTCATTTAAAATCTAACATCATAGAAATTTGTACTTAAGTGCATAAATATATATGCTTTTAGATCTCTAAAATATTTATAATTATTTAAATGGAGATTAATTTATTGACTTATTTTCTATGTGAATATACTTCTCTACAGAATGAAAATAACTTATTTACAAAAATTACATTTTCTTGAGTAATACATTTGAGTTAACAAGTACTAAAAAAAACTTAAAAATAATACATATATCATACAGTCATTATCAGATAAGGCATCATAAAGAGACTCAAACACCAATTTCAAGTTTACATAAACCCAGTCAGTTTCAGATTACACATAAAGAAATAGAAGCTGCTACGCATAGAACAAAAAACATAAAACAAGTCATGTTTTATGACATGAAACATTTTACTCTAAAACTTCAATAACTGCAGCTCATCAGTTACACATTACACCTTACTGATGACAAACTTCAAGTAAACTTAACACATGTAAATAGTTTAACTTGTAAGTCACCCAAAAGGATTTTATATTGTGTGAAAAGTCTGGACACTCAGTTATAGTTGCCTGTTGTGCTTCAGTTTCACTTTGAACCTGACTTGATAGATGATGCAACTCTGGGCTGGGTTGAAACAATGCCTGATATAGCTGATGTGACATGGGCCTTCTTGAGGTATTTGTACATGCAGCTGTGTCTCTTCCAGCCACACTTTATAAACTCCTAAGAAATGAATGCATAGACTTACATAAATCTTAACTTACAGTCTGCAAGTGTGTCCTTCCCAGTACGTAGCTAACTAGACAGGTATTGCCGAGTCCTTCCCAACTGAATTGGGTTGGTTCATTTTTGGTGTTGCTGAGAGAAGTATCTGGCTGAGACACCCTCAGCTGGTGTGTAATTTTGATTTTGCCTGGGGTGATATGTTCTGATGATAGTGTTATCAATATCAAATCAACAAGTGGACACATAGTAAACTCCTAAAATGCTTGCTGCATCATAGGAGATAACTCTGTATCCAAAATCTGGCATTTTCTTATTGACCTGGGCTACTCTATTTCCGGTCTGTCTGACCTTATTTTCCCCAGACCAAATCCCCATTAGCAAAATAAAACATACTAACCTTCACTCACCTGATTTACATTGATCCCAGGTCGAGGCACCAAAATTATATGTAACTTACTCTGTGGTATACTTAAGTAAAAAGTTATATGCAGCTAAGTCACAACCACAATAACAGAGAAACACTAAGATCTAACTTGAATGAGTCACTGATGTCTGAAAGATAAAGACTGAATTGTTACAGTGTAGGAACCGATGAGTACTGGAGATGAATTTTAAAATGTAAAAACAAAGACAGGTTAAGTGGTGTAATATGAGGAAGAAAACAAATTTTTTTACACAACAACACAGTTAAACTTGAAATAATACTGTTTATTTGATTGACTATATTTTATCATTTAACCCAACTGTAGATAAAATAGATTTTACTGCATGAAGACCAATGGTCTGATGAACAGAACATGACTCATCCAATTACAAAGATTTAAACATACATCCAGTCATGGGTAACTTGATCTATCAATACATGACAATCATCTTTCACTAATTCCCACCATAAAATTGGGAGATAATGCAAGGCTGGTGTCCTATGGAGAAATATTGCAATCTCAAGATACAATGGTCAAAACTAAACTGATACAGACAACTAAAGTCTGGAAATATTACATAAAATTTGAATATTATAGAAATAAAATTACAGAATGGCTAGGAAAGCACGACCTCATATGACTGGAAAATGGAAAATATCAATAACTTAACAAAAAGAGAATAAATCAGAATGGTCAGTTTAATGGTCCAATATAGAAAAAATTCTGGAAAAAAATTATTAGAGAAGAAGCATTGAAGTATTTGGAAGTTAATAACTGCTTTTTAAAAATATTCTCATTATTGTTTTAAAATTATTCATCCTTGATGTGGTCAACTATTAGAAGTGATAGAAGATAGGTCAAAGTACATAGGATATGGATGAGCATTCAACTTTATTTAAATAGATCTATAAAAAATGTTTCATTGTAGGCCTCATTAGTGACAGTTAAATAATTTAAGAGTATATGGCACCGAAAAAAAATTGTATACATGGTTAGCATATTCCTTACAAAATAAAGTACAAATGCTGTGGTCAATGGTAAATTTTCTCAAAATGGTCAACTGCAATGAGTACAATGCCTCAAGGACCTGTCTAGGCCCTATACTATTTTTTTAGATGCATGGACAGATGTTGTTTGCACATGAAACTAAAGTCCATGAATTTTCAAAAAAGTAGTATTAGGCTAACAAGATCAGTTTGCCATACTAAATCTTACTGAATGGTCAGTATGTTGGCAATTAATAATGGAAAATCTTAAATGTAAAACTTTTCATTATGCTCTAACAAACAGAATTTCAAATAAAAAAATAATACTCTTTACAGAATTGAGGAAAAACAAGACAATTGTCATTTTTCCTTAATTCTGTAATTATGGGGTTTTACCAAGTACCGACAGTTTTAAGTGTCAATTATATGAATACTCTTTCTTCAGTTTGAGTTCAACTTTAGCCCACGAGAAAGATCTTGGTGTTGCTTACAATAATTTTGTTTTCAAATAGCATAGCTAAGATTTATAGTAAAATTAATTCAAGATTAAGCTTTATTTACAGCAAGCAACTTGATAATTATAAAACTACTCAGTCCTATCTTTAAATACTGCAATATATTGTTAAATTATTTATCTGTAGAAAGATAACAACAGATTGTTAATAACAGCAGTAGGTTATACCATGACTTTTCATAAACACTAGGACAGATTATTAATAACAGTAGTAGGTTATACCATGACATTTCATAAATACTAGAACAGATCATTAATAACAGCAGTAGGTTATACCATGACATTTCATAAACACTAGAACAGATTGTTAATAACAGCAGTTAATGAATGAATAATGTGACTGTATTAGGAAAACAAAATCCAAAAATGAACTGTGATATAGGTTCCTGTAATGATGATGATAATAAAGGATTACAACACAGTTACAGTAAGTTGATGTAGAAATCTTCTTTTATCTTTCTTTTGCAACAAATATGACTTTTATCCCATTATTTTTGTACTATTACATTTTATTGTATGTTTTTTAAATTCTGAAGGAATCTAATTATTAGAATTGTTGGATAATTTTGCAAAGTTTAATGTATAGGAATTGTACTGCATATTCTAATTAATCTGTCATTTTAATGTAAATTCAGTGTTTCTTTGTCATATGTCTGGTTTGTCACTTTTGTAATGAGATTTATTATTTTTTTAATGACTAATTTACCTTCACCATCTTTCAGTCATTTGAATAGTGTAAGGTCTCCAGTGATTATGAAACGTCATGGTATAAGCTACAGCTGTTATTAATAATCTGTTCTAGTGTTTATGAAACGTCATGGCATAACCTAATTTCAGTAGTGGAATCACCTGGAATGATGAGTAATAACACACAGTCCAATATCTGTTAATTCTTCATAAAAAACAATTATTTATTAAAGAAATTAATTTTACAAATACATTGTAAGTTGACTAAACAACCATTTTTAACACATATTTAATTATTATTAAAAGAAAAGAGAAATTGCATTTCAACACAGAAAGACACTAATGTGGTTTTTGAATAATCAATGGTTGTTGACCTCAATAGTGATGCCAAAAATTACACCAAGTCTCTCTTATGCCAATAGTACACAATGTTATGTATATTTCTGAAGCAAATTTAAGAAACAACACATTTTTTCACCAGCATCAGGTGGTACACAAATTCTGACATAAGATTCATATGCATTAATGAAAATAATAAAATTACACTCTTCACATTTATTACAATCAGATATTTATTAAGGTCATGAATCATTTCAGCTTTTTTTTAACCTGTGGAAAAGTTCATGTGTTACATTATGATTTAACTGTTTACAACTGAATAATGTTTAGGATTTAGATAAAACTGAGGAAAAATAGAGAACCAAAGTTTGTATCTTGGACTAACTCAACTTCAACTAAACCTTAAGGAAGCTGTGAAAGAACATCTGGACTGACAAACACAGAGTGGTATGATGAGCCCTATTAAGTAGCTTAGTACTACTAGTCATACTCATTAGAGTATAATGCTTATTAAACTTAAAACTTATGTTAAAAAAGTATGACTATGACCCAATACTGACTGTATAAGCACAACTAGTTAGGTTATTATGGCTATATGAGTGACTATGGTGTGACTCAGATAGTCACATTCTACTACTACAACTAGTATTACTACTACTAGTAGTATTCAAAAATTTGGGCTCTAGTCAATATCTACTTTTAAAATTAAGGTTTTATTGTTTTATTTTTCACTTATCTGAAGTTATCAACCAGGAAAGTGAATGGAATTGGAAGAAGATGCTATGATTCTGAGTCACTCTGCATGAGTCAGAGTATGAATTTTGGGCTAAGTCGTGCTCATTACATTCATATGTCATGAATCATACTTCAAAATAATAATAGTATTAGTATTACTAGTAGTACTGGCAGTAGTAAACTACATTATCACTTACGCCGTCTTACTACAGACTCTAGTTCTAAACATGCTAGATTCCTATTTATTATGAATCACGATGAGTGAATTTACGAAATTATGAGCTTATGAGTATGAGTGTAAATCATCCTGAATAATAAATTAGTAATTTATGATTCAGTGATGACTGATTCTGATATACGCCTAAATAATATTAATAGTAAATATTTCTAATTTACGAGTAAGAATTAAAAACTGTTATTCTTCCAAAATATTACATACCGTTTTTTATTACTTATGATGATACTTAAGTACAGAATCTTCAGCACGAATAAACGTTTTAACTTTAATATCACCAAACATACGTTATGTTCAACGAACAATATTCTGATACAACTCAGCTTAATTATTAGAAGCAATAAAACCTCGAGTAATTGCATAGACTAGGTAGCGCAACGAACTGACTTTGCCTACCATCTTATATGAAGCCGTTCATAAATATTTAATAAAGATTTTTTTACCTAATTATTGTTTTAATTTTTCAATAAAAAAATCCACAGCGAGTTCTTACTCCTTCGTTAGCTTATCATTCTTCTGAACAAATGGCAACAAAGACCAATAACGTACATATTAAGGAAAAATCGTTAATAAAGGCTATATTAGAATGTTATATTACTTTGCATGATATTTTATGACCAACGCAATGAAAATGGCACAAGTATAACAATAGAAGAAAATAGGAGAAAGAAGAAAATAAAACTATGGAGTCTGAATTTAATGGACAGTGAATAATCTTTCTCCACCAGAAGAAGTTCGTTTCCCAATGGATTACCCTGATCATTGTATGTAACCAGAGCTAATATTCTACAGAGGTCAAACTTAACTTTCAACCTATAACATCGAATTATTTGTATACGTATGTGAAAGAGAGAGAGTAAGTGAAGGAACACAAAAACTAAAGATAATATGACCTTGGTAAAATCATAGCGAATTCCGGCCCAAATTGCTGTTGGTAATCTTTCCATTCCATCTTAGCATCACCAGTTAGTAATAGGCCAATTAGAGCTTTAAAGTACTCGCTTAAAGTGGTGAAGTTGATTTTTTAGTGACAACTATGGTCTACAAACATGAATAAACTTTGAATACCGTAGGGGTTAAATTGTGTAATCACATAATTTCACTGAGTACTGACGGTTTCCAATATTAATTGCATACAACCATATTATATTGATATTTTCCAAAATAACATAACATAATATAACGTTTTGGGACAACATGGGACCTATTGGTCCATCTCGTATGTTCCATCCTCTAAACTAATTTAAAATGATCAAAAAATAAATACAAAAAAATCTTAAAGCCAGCTCTTTTCATTCATATACTTATAAAGCTTTTTCTTAAAGTCACTTAAATTTACTGCCTCTGAAGGCAACCCATTCCAAAGGCTAACCATCCTGTTAAAAAAGTGAAACTGTCTTAGCTGAAGATGACTCCTATCTTGCCAAACTTATATTCGTGGCCCCTAGTCCTACTATTCTCATTGTTAAATAATAAAAGAAAAAAGATGATGCATCAACACTATCAATTCCCTTTACAATCTTAAATACCTCAGTCAGATCCTCTAACTCTTTTTTTCCCAAGACTTCATTTTGTAACATGAAACTACATTTGCTTATCCTTTAATATAAAATTTGTCTGTTCTGAAAGTGGCTGTCCATGAAAAATTTTCTTTTTTCCATTAACCTGATATCTGTCTCTTTTCATTCTTTGTCCATTGGGAATTTTGCAGTCTTGCTTGAATTATTTATTGGTATTTAAGTCTATTCTTGCGTGGAACACGTTTACGAACATTTCCTCTTTCCTTGACGGCTGTTGATATTGAAGTATGGGAAAATACTATTGTTACGTCTCTGTTCGTTTGTTAATTTTCCGCAGAACTTCAGCGATACAAGTCCTTTCTTAAATAAAACTAGTTTATTCTTTCTCAATACAACTTTGCAATACACTTAATTTCCACAATCACTTTCACTTAAACACACGCTATAATTCACAACAATTCACGCACGTTACTTATGGTCACTACCACTCGCTTGACTCAATTATCTGTCTCTATCTTCAATCTATCTGCAATTATCTCTCCGCTTTATTTGCCGGGCTTATATACTAAAATAGAGGGCGCCTAGAAAAGATTAGAGTTGCCAGGAAAACTCAAGATCCTTCGAGAATCCCATTATGTGTTACTGGGCCAGGACGGGATCGATCGTCAGTTCGCTAGCTATCGACCATGTTACATGTCAGTATGCAGCCTGTCTCATACCCTACGCCGCCGTTAATCATCGACGGACTACCACTCGACTTCTCGCCGCGGGACACGGCTAACTTCATCCGCCACTAGAAGCCTCAAGCCCGAGTATTCCCTGAACGCACATGACGTCTACGAATGGGAGGTATACTCCTCCAACCCAAGTCACTCGCAGACTTTCGCCACCTTTTGTCTTCAAACCCTTCCGTCACTTGCCAATCCCCCAAAACCAATACCAGTCTCCACACAATTTGTCTCAGGAACGTTCATTTATCCTTCACGCCAGACGAAATACATCAAGCCCTTGAAGTTACAACCAACTCTACGATTCACGCAGTCCACCGATCCAGTCAAAGAAAACAGGTTCACCCTCCACGTTCATGAAAGTTGTCACATCTTCCAAAACTACAGCAGATTTCATACTCACCCACAGCTGCTACCTTGATTACCATCACTTTAAGGCAGAAAAACCTTACCGTAAGCCTACCCCACCCATACCTTTCCTAACCTACCCCCCAAGCCCATGCTTTTCAACACCCAAAAGAAATCCACGGCCAACCAGTACTCTACCGCCCATCCTATTACAATAGGCCAAGCCACTCAAACCTCACCCACTCCTGAATCACAAGACATGTCAACCCAAACCACCACTACTAGAAGGAAAAAAGGCACCCAGACCCAGCCACAAGTCTTTACAGTTACCAACGACGCCTATCAACAAACCAACAACCCGCCTCCCAGCCCCAAGCCACTTTCTACTTCATCGGCGTAGTAATTGACACCTCCCCCGATCTTTACCTACCTGACGAATCTTTCTGTGCCTTCCGCCTACTCACCAACAACACCGAGGACTCCACGCCTTTACCACTTGCCTGGAACCGGAACCTATTCAATAAGAAAACCAAGATGAACACCAGGAGACTCCACAACTCATTCAAAAGCTAATCAACCCCCAACACCAGACTTCACTTTGCCTTTCCCACTAACTTCTTCTCGCTAACCAGGCACTGGTAACGAATCGGTCGTTACCAGTGAAAGTGGGTTTTCTCGGGGTACTCCTGTTTCCCCCACATTAAATTCTCGGTATAGGATTTTTTAGATCCCCGCCGCCCTGATGGACCTTCAGTCCGATCACGGCCGTTTAGTTTAGCTTAGTCTACTTTGCTTTTCACTTTTTATTTTTTTTACAGTTACTCTCACGTTTACCTTTTTAAACTTACATACCTTGTCTGCATTAATTTCCTATTTTCTCAGGTTAAGCCCATATTCCTAGACCACACGCGGGGTGAAGGAGGATTGTTTAATCTTCGAGCACCCTTGATTAATAATTATTTTTAAATCAAAATAACTGCCAAGAACGACAACATGACGTGTTACTAGTATCATGTGACTTCCGCTGTCGTAACACTATGTTTATTACTACATGAAAGTCGTGGCTTGTATCTCAAGCACGAGTACAATATCTGACTACTTCCAAGGCTATATTTATGTATGTAATGCATTAGTAAACTAAATTTCACTGTGTAAAGTGGCAAATTTACCTGCTAATAGTAAATGACTTGTTCTTATATTTATAATATTAACCCTTTCGCTATGAATAGGTGAAAGTGCGTATGTCAAGACCTTTTGCAATTACATTAAAAATTTAATTTAACTACTTTATTATTAATATATAGCAATAAAGTTTGCATTAAACATAATTTATAGATCAAATTTTAATAACATAAAAGTTTCAGTTTTGTATTTTTAAAGGTATATATATATATAAATGCTAAACTTAACTTTCTGTATATTGCATGACACTCCTCCAATCAAACTATTTATTTCAACATTTTCTACCCTCTAAGGCATTGTAACTTTCCGTGGAATTTCGAACTTACATTATACATATCCTCGTGCTAAACTATCAATTTCTAGCCTCAACCGCACCCATATTCCCTCCCCCGCCACGACCCCTCCTCTCTCAACCAACAACTGCCGCCAACCAAGAAATCCAAACCATTAATTTAGAACAAACAACTTCAAGGAACCAACAGATCCAGGTATCACTGATCACCATTCCGGGCAAGTCAACACAAACATAGAAGAAAAAACGCAACTCAAATCCTGCCGCCACCATCGACAAATCTCAACAAACCAGCTACTGCCGCACCCTCTTCGTCAAACTCACATAACCCTTATACATAAACACTGGTTCTTCTACTCCGCAGTACCACCAAACAGACGAGTCTCACCTACAGTCCTTCCTCTTTAATCGCCCACCTGCCAGAGATCCAGAAGATTCGACCCCGATCAGACCCCTTCCCAACATGAATAAATTTCTATGCAACATCCGCCGACTGAGAGGTTCCACGTTACACTAAGTAACCTACAGTCTCGCCTATCACTCTGCCTACGTACATCTCATCTCTTCACGTTAACCGGGCACTGGATTGACGCTTTACCAGTGAAAGTGGGTTTTCTCGGGGTACTCCCGTTTTCCCCACAGCAAATTCTTGGCAGATGATTTATAAATCCCCTCCCTGAAGAACAATATGTCCGAGACCGTCACATTATAATGCCCCCACCGCTGAAAGGGCGAGCATGTTTGGTATGACGGGTATTCGAACCTGCGACCCTCAGATTGCGAGTCGAACGCCCTGACCATCTGGCCAATAATTTGGACATCTGAGCGTCGTTTTGATTAAATCTCTCTGTTGGTGCTCTGCTTCACCAGGTATGGGAATAATCTTAAGTCATTTCTATGTTAGTTAGGAAGCTAGATAAACTATATAAGTTTAGGACATTCTATTTTATATGTGAGGAAATATTTCCTATTCTAAGGTGAATAAAAAAATTTTGAGAACACATTACTATAAGTAATTGTAATTTTCTGTTATAACCTGCAGCCGTTCTAGAAAGAAAAAGGGGTAATTTAGATTTATTTTATAATTTTTGTGGTGGTTACAATTTCGGTAAAAATGGCTGAGCCTGTATAGGTAGAATTAATAAAACAGTTGTCTTTAACATAATTTTACCAAAAATATTGAAACTAAATAAGTTTGAATATGCTTGACTCAATTGTTCGTATTAAGACCACGGAAAATGCTGTAAA